TCTTCCGAAGCGAAGCAGATCCAACTGGTTGATCCAGATTGGCAGAGAGCGCGGAACGATCACCTTCCCCTGGAACAGGAAGATTAAATTTAAAGTTCCCTCGCGAGTCGACTCCTCAAGTCAGGTTGATGGGACGGATTCGTCAGTTTCCTGTGGCTGATGGACTATGGACGAGTAACGTCGAGGGAGGCGTCGGTTCCATACCATGCAAGAGGTCAAACTTCAACGGCACCATGGATGCGGAAAGGGCGCATGAGATATTGAGAGAGAATAATAACTTGCGCAAGATTGTTGGAGATGAAGCCTTTGAAGGTTGAAGGATCTGAGACATGGCTCATGATTACGTCGGTGGTATGAGTATTTCCATTATTATTTGGTGATAGGACGATAATAATACCTTAGAAGTTAGGCATCATTCTGGTACCCTTAAGCATTTAAGGCAGTTTAAGTTTGGATAGAGAACTCCATGAACAAAAATACCTCCCTATGTATTCTCGAATAGATAATTCATACGATAAATGTTCAATGATCATGGTAAAGAATGACAAATATGCGGCTCACATTCCGACGATCTCCCTTCCATGTTTTTCCCCTTCCCTGCATGCCCAGGAATATTATTATTGTCCTATTCCCCGTCAGGTTGGTAGAGTTCAAGAATGAATCCAATGTTTTCTCTTCACCGAAAAGAAAAACAACCCGCTATTCGTCTTGAGAAGATCCTGTCATGAATAGCATTAATAGCATCAATTATATAGAACGTCTCTAATAAGCTAGTTATCCCTCATTTCCTACACATACATACCTATAAACTATGGTTCTGTCGGCCCACGCGAGCCACACAAATAGAGTTGCTAGTTGACTAAGTACTACCAATACCAGCTTTCTCCGCTTGAGGAAATCCCTCGTATTATTTCCCCCCTCATATCCCCAGAATCTTCTCTCCATCGTCATCTTCAATTCGTCGACTCTCTTTTTCCTCAATTTTCCAATCTTTCAATTCTCGGTCTCTTCATCTTCATATCTTACTATTATTATTATTGATCGTTCCAACCTCAGTCCAATTCCTCTTTTCCACTCTTTCCTCGACATCTCCATCACCATCCGGCTTCTTCTCCGCCCTTCCTTTCCACCCGCGACCATTTCAAACATTATTATTAAGTTCTACGCTCTTCGCCGTCTTCGGATTCCTTCAACTGCTGGCCAGTCGTCCCGCTTTCCCCCTTCCGAACTTGCGATTCGGTGACAATGGGGTCGTTCTGCAGTCGAGTCTTGAATATATATCCTCCGTGTGGGAGCTTAATTCTATAGATCGCTTTTGAGCGTGTCTAAAACCTTCGTGGTTGGTCTGTGCATGTTCCTCCAGCATGGCGGATCGCAGACCAGAGGTACTGGTCGTCTCGGTCATATTTTTCGCTCTCGCCACTGTCTTTGTAGCTCTGCGATTCGTGTCGCGGATCTTCGTCGTGCGGAGGGTTGGCCTGCATGACTATCTGATGCTACTGGCTTGGGTACGTCGCGCACACTTTTGAGACGTTCCGCAGTCCTCGACGCCTTCCTGGACGCATGGGAAAAAGCTAATCATCCTCAGTTGATTGACTTCGGCTTCTCGTTCTCGCTCTTCTACGCGACCAGCCAGGGTCTGGGTCTTCACGACTATGATATCCCAACCGACAATCGACCCCGTCTCAGCCGTGCCGACTATGCCTTTACCGTCCTCTACGTGAGTCATTTTGGCCCCTAGAATACACGAATGGCTGTCATTGATACTATGCCCTAGAATCCTGCGTTGATGGCCGTCAAAACTTCCATCCTCGTCTTCTACCTGACATTGACCAAGGGCGAAAAGGTCTTTCGCTGGGCCAATTACGTGACTCTCTTTGCCGTCAATGCAGCTGGCTTGGCCCTCACTCTCGTCAATGTCTTTCAATGTAATCCGGTAGAGGCTGCATACTCGTATCCTTTGCCGCCGAATGCGCGTTGTATCGATATCCTCACTTTGTACCTTTCTTCCTCGCCGGTCAACATCATTACCGATTTAGCCATTCTGTTCATCCCAAACCCCATTTTGACGCAGATGCGCCTTCCTCGGAAACAGAAGATTATCCTCGTCATCACCTTTAGCTTCGGTTTCTTCGTGGCCGTGGTCGATGTGATCCGAATCGCCTACATCCAGGATGCAGCCACATCCCGTCAAATCGCGGTCAAAGATATCCATTATCTATCTGCCTCGGACGACTTTAGCTGTATGACTTGCAATCTATCCTCCGAGTTCCATAGGATCGCTGACGGCGCATCTAGGGTACGCATCTCTCTCGTTCATGTGGTCGGTTGTCGAAGTCAACGTGTCGGTTATGTGCGCGTGTGTCCCCAGTCTGAAGCCCCTTGTGGCTCGTCTCATTCCGAAGTTGATCAGAGACACGGACGAGAACACTCCGAATACGGCTGATTTGAACCATCCTCCTTCGATCGAACCTCCCGCCGCCTCTTCGCAGGGAGCTATCGCTGTCCCTGTCAATGTACCGCCCTCGCCTTCGCAATCCGGCAGCACCCGGAATAAAGCATCACGGTCGGGAAGCCGTAGCAGTGGTAGTGTCGCTGACACGCGGGGAATGCAATCGGGGACCATGGACATGCTGGAGTTCTTAACGTCTCCCGAATCGGTTCGTCACGATGCAGAAGCCAATACGGCTACTCTGACCAGCACGTCGTCTCCGCACAGTATCACGTTTTTCGACTTTGTGAATATGAACAACCCGCCAAGCATGCTCAAGTTAACGAACAAAGAATCTATCGCTCCGAACGCACTGACGACCATCCTTTTTTTTATGTGGGGCTTCGCGTACGGGCTACTGGACATCTTGAACTCTCAATTTCAGCAGATCGTCCGCCTGGACTCGTGGCGCTCCCTGGGTCTTCATGCTGTATACTTTGGTGGGTACTTGGTGGGCCCACCACTGGTCGGTCGAACTGTGCTGAAGCGATGGGGGTTCAAGTCGACATTTATAACGGGCCTCTGTATATATGCGTGTGGGACGCTCATCTTCTGGCCCTCGGCCGTGTTGACCTCGTATTCTGCCTTTACAATCTCGAATTTCATCGTAGGCTTCGGCCTCGCTGTGTTGGAGACAGCCGCCAATCCATTCATTGCTCTCTGCGGGCCGCAGGAGAACTCGGAAATCCGTCTCAATATCTCGCAAGGCGTGCAGGCCATTGGAAGCGTCCTTTCGCCTCTTCTAGCCAAAAGGGTCTTGTTCAAAAAGGTCACCGATGTGGGGTCTCTGGTCGATGTCCAATGGACTTACTTGGGCATCGCTCTGTTCGACGTGCTCCTAGCCGTGGCCTTCTACTATCTGCCCATCCCCGAGGCATCCGATGAAGATTTAGAAGAACTGGCCGACCGTCGCCGCGAGGATAATATGACTAAAGTGCTCGGAGTGCCTGTGGTGTGGTTGACCTTGGGGCTTGGGGTGTCTTCCCAATTCTTCTATGTGGCAGGCCAGGAAGTTCTTTCGCAGAGTTTCGATGTCTTTGTCGATGCTGCGAATCCGAAGTAAGAATCCCTCCGCTGCATTCGATGACCAGCCCAGATTGCTAACTCGGTTGTAGCTCCGGCATAGGCGCTTTCGAATATTTGACGATCGCACACACCGTCTTTGCTGTCGGACGGTTTTTGACCGCCTTCCTGCAGTGGTTCCTGAAACCTCGATGGGTCTTGATGCTCTCGTACATTGGCATGATTGTGTTTGCAGTGCTATGCATGAAGACAACCGGCTCCACGGCGGTCACCATGAGTCTGATGGTCTACCTCTTTGAGAGTGGCGCATTCAGCACCATTTTCGCCCTGTCCCTCCGTGGCACCGCCCGTCATACGAAAACGGCTGCCTCGCTGCTGGCCACCGCCATCAGCGGTGGGGTTTTCTTCCCCTTCGCGCAGTACGCCGCCCAGCTTGCGAGGGGTGTTCCCTACTCGTACAGCGTTCTTGTTGCCCTTTTCTGCGCCGGCGCTATCTTTCCCTTGTACTTGAATTTTGTCCCTGCCGCCAAGAAGCAAGTCGACCCCGTCCCCAACGAGTATCTCCGCCGTCATCACCGGCGTCATCGTAGCCGCATGACCCCGAACAACACCCTCGCTCCCGTTCCCCGCGAGAAAGATAACCCATCAGTTGGCGGGGTCTTGTCCCGCCGTCGCAGCGTGCTGCGCGATCCACTTCCTACCATGAACCTCCCCGAAACAACTTATTCTCCGGTGTCGAGTCCGGGCAGAAAGAGTCTTCCAAAGAAGCAGTCGTCATCGTCATCATCGTCCAGGAGCGGCGGCGGACTCATGCACGACCTCGCCCCGTGGCCGGAATCATGACCCTTGTACATTTTTTCATTTCCGTTACCCGCGTGATACCCAACCTTGGTTGATTTGGAACAAAAGTTCTCTTAGTCTTGTTTAATATTTTTTTTATGGGCATTTAGCGACGGTGTTCTGAGTGACAACGGGGCTATCATATGTTCATGGAGTACATATATATATTCGATATCTGAGGGCGGAAGTTTTGACAGTACCTACTTATGGGTAGATGAGGGATGGTGCCTAGTATCTGAAAGACCACTAACGATATTTACATGTAATCTATTCCAATACTAATGATATCATTCATGTCTTTAATTCTCTTCATTTGGAACATAGCAATGTCAAACTGGGTCTTCGAAGGGCCGATGGGACTACAGTATTTTCGAGTAAAGGTTGAGATACAATGTGCGAAGTCGTAAAATGTTAATAAGGATCTTGATAATAGTATATATTGAATCATGATATATGCTAATGCGCTCTAAATCATGAGAAGTTTATACAAGAATGAAAACCCGAAGTCCCGAAACCCGGCGCCTCTATCGTCCAAATTCAATGCGCTTGGGATCAACCAGATGAGAGAATAGAAAAGAAGAAAAAAAAAGGGGTAATCGCTCAGAAAAAGTCGTCATCATAACATGGAGAGTGGGGGGCGAGGCGTTTACCACCAGTCACCCTGCTCCTTCATGGCCTCGGCAACCTTGGTGAAACCGGCGATGTTGCTACCGGTGACCAGGGAAGGAAGGACGCCCTCGGCGGGAGTGGCGTACTTGACGGCGGTGTCGAGACCGTTGCGGAAGCAGGACTCCATGATGCCCTTAAGGCGGGAGTCGACCTCCTCGGCGGACCAGCTGATGCGGGCCGAGTTCTGGGCCATCTCGAGACCGGAGACGGCGACACCACCAGCGTTGGCGGCCTTACCGGGGGCGTACCAGATGGCGGCGGCGCCGGGGTTGGCCTGGCGGTGGGCCTCGAAGATGTCAATGGCGGCCTGTGTGCAGCCCATGTTGGAGCCCTCGGCGATGAACTTGCAGCCGGCGTCGATCAGGGCCTGGGCCTCCTCGCCGGAGACCTCGTTCTGGGTGGCGGAGGGGAGGGCGACGTCGACCTTGCCGACGTGGACCCAGGGGCGAGCGCCCTCGATGTACTTGAACTTGGCGGCAAAGGCCTCGGTGGTAGCGACCTCGGACAGCTGCTTACGGTCGACCTTGAGCTGGGCGATGACGTCGATCTCGGCGGGGGTGAAGCTGCCCTCGCCGTTGACGATCAGGGAGCCCCTGCTGTCGGACAGAGAGACGACGGAACCGCCAAGCTCGATAACCTTGAGAGCAGCGAACTGGGCAACATTACCGGAGCCGGAGATGGCGACGCGCTTGCCGGCAAAGGACTCGGCGCCCTTGGTGGCATGCTTGATCATGTGGTCGACGTAGTAGACGACACCGTAGCCAGTGGCCTCGGGACGGATCAGAGAACCACCCCAGCTGCCGCCCTTGCCGGTGAGGACACCCTCCCACTGGTTGCGGATCTTGCGGTACTGGCCGAAGAGGAAACCGATCTCACGACCGGTGACACCAATGTCACCGGCGGGGACGTCGGTGTCGGCACCGATGTGCTTGCACAGCTCGGTCATGAAGGCCACGCAGAAGCGACGGATCTCGTTGTCGGACTTGCCCTTGGGGTCGAAGTCGGAACCACCCTTACCACCACCCATGTTCAGACCGGTCAGAGCATTCTTAAAGATCTGCTCGAAACCAAGGAACTTCAGGATGGACAGGTTGACGGAGGGGTGGAAACGGAGACCACCCTTGTAGGGACCAAGAGCCGAGTTGAACTGGACACGGAACCCACGGTTGATCTGGACCTGGTGGTTGTCATCTTCCCAGACGACACGGAACTGAACCACACGCTCGGGGACGGAGACAACGGCGAGAGCCTTGCGGTATTCAGGGTTCTTCTCGAAGAGAGTCGAGTTCTCAAGGGTCGAGGCAAGCTCTGTATTCGATTGTTAGCATCATCCAGAAGCCACATCAAAACGCGAGATTTGTGTAACACACCCTTGTAGGCCTGCTCGAACTCGGGCTCGTGAGGAAGGTTGGACATTTTGAATATGGTTAGATGGTATTTGTCTCTTTGGGAAAATGCTCAAGTGGCGATTAGAGACAATAGAAAGGAAGAGATGGGATGGATGAGCGAGAAAGAAGCGAAGAACAAGAGACCTGGAGATGTATTTATGCTGGAGATGGACGACACCGTAGGAGGGGGTGCGAGGGGCAGCGGAGGACGGCGAAAGAGGGATGCCGGAGTCGGACGAGAGGGAGGACAGCATCCTGATTGTGCAGGGACCAACGAGAGGCCGCGATCCGCAGTAGAATTGCCGGCACACAAGGCCGGGATTGGGAGGAAACAGTGCTGGAACAAGAAGAGGAGGAGGATGATTGGACAGGGGAAACTTCCGAAGTTCGGGTGGGGTTAAACTGTTATTCGATACTTTAAGGTCACAGATTGCAGGCTGCTTATCTATCGGCGGAAACCCGCCCCAGCGCCTGTCCGCTTTCGGGTTCCGGGAAATCATCGTGGGTGTGGCCACCGGTCAGAGATTTCTCTCCTTCCATATCTCCAGGGTGTTATGGGATTCAATTTGGAAATATTATTATTGCGGGGAGGATCGAGTCATTCTGACCCCGTTTCTTATCTCTCCAGCTGTAAGAATTGCTAAGGAGATTTAGTGACCGTCCAGTCATGCCAAGCTTTGGCGGCCACTGACTCAACACCCACCATATCTGTGATCTGTCAGCACATCACGTGTGGGATAGCCCAATCAGGCTGCGTCCCTGGCAGTTCCACAGACTCCATCAGAAATCTTATCTGATCGTTTTACCTGATTATCAGCTGCCACTAACCGCTTTAGTCCACAGCTCGTCTGCCACCTTTGGCCTCTAGGTGCCAAAGTACGCCTCGTCTGATTAATTGCTGCCTTACTGCATAATAAAGTGCTACCGGATGAAATCAATCCGAATGTGGGTGATTTTGAGAGAAGCCATCCACACGAGCCATCCACACAATGAGGAGCAGTATCCCAACCTCTTTGTACTACTGAGTAATCAACATTGAATTGCGTTGCACCTGAAAGTATGGGTAATTATTCTGTGAAATAAGCAAGAACGATAATTGGGGGAAAATCATAGATGAAACGCTGCAATCGGGATTCCCCGGTCTACCGGTGAAGCGTGGGCCATCCGCATCCCGTGGGGTTGAGCTGCACTGATCGTACGGCCGAGACGGCTCGTCCAGAGTATTATCCTTGCATACCACCTTTTCACGCGGGGAACGTCGCATTGCTATATGGGACGCCATCGGTGACTGTATGAGTCTCAGGATCAGACTGCCAGACACCCCAATGTCGCCTAGGGCGGGTAAATGAAACACAGCCTAGCAGTCTTCGGGGACTCGGTGTCAACTCCGCTCTCGGATAGATCGGACTATGGGCGCCAAGATGGATGATTGCCTAAGCTCCTATGGAGTAACGTTGGATGCCTTAGGCTGCTAATTCGGAGTGAGTCTCGTTCTCCGATTTTGCTTTACTATGGGAAATACATAGTCATAGATAGTTCCCCTCTCCCCCCATATATTGTTGACATTCTTCCACTTCCCGGTTGATTAACAATCCCCAACCTCATCTGACAATGCCTCCTGATGACTTCAATTTCATTCCTTGCTTATCCCTATTATAGCATTCAGCTCAGATTTGATCAAGTTCTCCTGTCTATGATGTTCTCAAGGTTGAATAATCTCTAGCTAATACCGCAATACTAAGCCCATACTAACGTAGCATCTCCATCTGACTACTCTCTATGTTACGCCGTAACTAGAGGATCGCATGCCAAGCTCTTGTCTAATGCATCGCTTTACCAGGGAACAGGGTCAGGAGTATCAGTGAAGTAAGGAGCACGGAACCAGTGTGCAATTGGACGTATCTGATCTTTCCGCCTGTTTGGTTCTTCTCTTCCTTGGGAATATTACAGTGGAACCTGCAAATTCAACGCCTGCAATTAGGGGCGCTTGCTAGACATGACAGGTCATATATGAGTTCAAAGCAATGATCAATGTACCAATTCCTATACTGCTATGCATGCGGCATGCCCCTATATGCGGAGTACTGGATCATCCACCCCTTCATCACACATTACGGCCGAAAAAGATACTGATGGGGGCGATGTGAGCGCATAACATGGCAATACAGCCCACTGCCATGCGGGCCAGAACGAGCAGCATGGGAAGGACATACCAGACTATTGACAATGCTTCGATCGTATGCTTCCCAAACAACCGCATTTCGACGCAATAATAATACCTATCATATCCTCAAGCCATACTGAGTGACCGCCAGTACCTACAGTTCTCGCGCTGTACACAGTCGGGTCCTTCATACCGCGTAATCCTGTCGATCCTCCTATTCCCTTCCTCAGTAAGGAGTGAACCAAGCTGAGACTTGGATGTACGCCAATCTTATGGCTCAACTGTCCATCGACCAGGTACTGGGTGGCGAATTCATTCGACCGACCCTGGGTTTCAAAGGGAATGATTCTCCTGATAGGCCAACCCAGTAGTGGATATTGCAATGGACGAGATCACTACTTACCTATGCTGCTCAATCGCAGCTCGATGCAGCACTCCTGCCGGGATGTCCACAGTAATTCTCGTAGAGTCGCTAAACAATACCTCCACAGGATATGTCACCTCTACTCTGTACCCCGTAGACTAAGGAGTACTGTGTACATCGTTCGGACATGTTTGTAGTCTGGTATGGCTTTTGATAGGTTACAGTTTAAGGCACGAGCCACCTGTGCGAGCCACGATCCTGTGGCTGTGTTGCCGTATCGCAGATCCTGAGGGGTCCTATCGGTGTTCTCCGAGTTCTATTTAGAATGCCCGACATCCAGTAGAGCTGAGAGCGTATGTCCATACCAGGGTCCTCAATGGACGGGTTTCTTAAAGTCCATGGTCGCGATCAGGTATCAAACTTCACTAAGTAGTGAAAAAGAAGACCGTGGTTACTGGTTGGGTTGGACAATTCGAGGGTTGATCCGGTAATAATCTCAATACTGTATCGTAGGTATCTGTAATTTGCAACTCAACCGCCTGAATTATATTACAACTGTGGACCATGCATGAATTGTTATTGTCGATCGAATCCATGTCGAGACAGTCTTTAGACAGATAGACCGGTGAATCATCAAAACAAACAAACTATGGAGTATATCCCGTCTTACCCTCAACATACCAAACGTAGAGTCCCAGACCTGTCACTATTTAGTGTTAGGTGATCCCTTCATGCAGGTAGATTCCTGGAATCGCGCAGCCTAGTGGCCCACTATTGGAGCTCGTGCATACTTGAAGAATCTGCTCGATGTGATCGGTCTGATCGGTCTGAAATACATATATCAGGTATGGGATTACTAGTAGACTAATGATTGCGTTGTACAATAACGGTAAACCTGCATATCTCTCTTTCCTCCACAATGACCAATCATTTATATGGCAGCCTGGCTCTAAAACCGTTCGCAGAGAATGCCTGTTATGGTGTGAAGAATCGCTTCCAAACTCGAGTAACATTCTCACCGATATGTATGGCCACGTCCCACCCGCGAAGACCGGACCTGAGCTAGAACCACTAGAAGCTGCTTTGCATCACCACCACAGGGAACAAATCTCTATTGGAAAGATATTTCCGGCTTGGCGCGTTCTACTTGCATCGTAGACATCGCGGTGGATGTATCGCTTTCACCGCTCATCTTAACCTTTCGTAATTACCTTCATGTTGTTGGGTATGAATGTATGGTTCTACTGATTGGGATAGACGTGTTGTCGTCTGAAGTACGGTAGCGAATGCGGGTAAACTTGATCGACTGGCTGTAACGGTGATGAACAGAAATAAGCTGTTATTATAGGCTCAGGGCAAGGTCCATTGCAGGTGCACCCTTTCAGGACCGGGGCATTATGGTGATGTGGAAGATTGGTACGTCATGCACAGCGTGGCAAATTCTGTGTCCGATAGAGAGCTGAGAACGGATGTGTCATTCGGTTCAGGCCTGATATATGGCTAGAGGTAGAATTTCTTGAGTCTGGTGGAATAGAGGGATATGTATTGACATGCTCACCGCTGATTGCGCCTCGAGAAGTGATTAAGGTACAAGAGGCATCTCTAGCCATTGGCAAATGACGGTGGCTCTTCCGCATGCCCAATGACTGGTAGGCTCCTAAGGAACCCAATAGACAGAACCTGGGACCATTCATGGACACAGTGAAGTTGATACTCATCAAGGTTATTGAAGAGTTAAAATAGAACCGATTAGATTGGACGATCTCTGATCTTGGAGGCTGCTTTAGAAACAGGGCCCATCCAGTGCCTGGTAGGTAAGTATCAACTTACCCTCCGTGTCCCTCCAATGGGAAGAAGGTACCTTAGATTGGAGGTGGGCTCAGGTACATGCCTGTGGGTAAGTTTGGTATTACCAGAGTACCAGTCCCAAAACTTGCAAAAGAGAAGCCACAAACAAACCAGAATGTGAAAAAAGCAAGTCAGAAAAGTCAATGTAGACAAGGTAATTCTAACCTACAAATACAGTTTGATCCAATTGATCCTCAGGGCCTGGTCTGAGCCATAGAAATGCCTCCCTTATCATCGCTTCCAGATGCTGGAGAGAGACGTTTCATTTCTGATCCGGGCCAATTTGTTAGGATCCACCAGCAGGAGTGAAAGGACACGCGATGAACATGGCTTTTTCGCCACTAGTCACGCCCATTGCATCCTTTGACTTGATTCGATTCGATTCGCATCGATCTGAGGCTCCACGTCCAATGGGCCAGTGTCTCGTTCCGTTGGCCTCAATCTGCGTCGAATTACCGTGTCTCAGTGCAATCAACTGCTGTAACTGCCGTCTGTTGTTTTTGTCCCTTGTCTTCCTTGTTAGCTATGGCCTGCCATTTCTCCATAAAAATTCTATTACCCAAAGGTAGAGAGATACTTGGGGGGATGGAGTCGTTGGAAAGACAGCTATCTCGGTGGTCGAATAATATTTTAGGGACATATTGTTCTATAT